CCAGTCTAACTGTATTTTAATTAATATGGCATCCGCTGTGAATGTTTAATTGTCTGAAACTAGGTGTACAGGAAAGTGAATGAAAATCACATGATTCACAATACTTAGATTTGTCAGCTAGATCTATCTAAATCGTAAGACCTTGTGGTGCTGTGTAGTACAGACTATGTTCGGACTGTCAGCTATAGTTTATCACGTGAGATTGACACCGCAGCCCAGGAACAGATTAAGTTGTCCGTGTTTCTTTTCAATCTCACCGTATTGTTTGCTGGTCTACATTCAATAAAGGCTATGCTGTTCTACTCTGATCTATCAAGATTATGGCGCGCACAAGTGATATAGATACCTTATCTACCTTCTGTTCAGAATTATCAAAGAAAAACAGTTTACGTTTTGGTAAACACTGTGCACTAATAGCCTATCAACCGATACGTACCCAAATCTCATGCATTCTAAACATTGCATGGAAAAATCAGTAATCACTGAGCTGTTTGTTCGGGTTATTTATGTTAGAAATTCAGCTCACACTCATTCCTCATCTCAATTAGTACAAATCGGATTCAGTTGGTGAACAATTCGCAGAAAGCGTGGACAATTTTGTATACTTTCGCGTATTGCGACTTTTTGTTAAGGCTCTTTTTAGTATTCAATTAGTGCTTCACAATTGACTTCGATGATTTACCAACCGTGGTGTGTAGTGATCTGGAAACCCGGCTCCATGTGTGGACAGACTAAAAAGCCAACTCATGGGTTAACTCTGATTTGATTTTAAACTTGCTCACTTCTTTTGCTTTCGCGACAGGCCAGTGATGACTTTATTTGGGTTTGTTCAACTGTTGATCGTAACTATCTCGGTCACCCTCGGCACCGCTTGTTTAAGTGGGGCGTTCTGCAGTTTGCCACTTGATTTTAATTTATCCAAAGACACTAAATCGGTATTTTTAATCCTGTGTTATTGATACGTGGTATTACCATGTCACTGGCTATTTCTAAGCTACTGGTCTATCGAGAAATTAGGTTGACTGGTATAGAATTAACACTATTTGGTATTAACTATTCATGGAATCCCCCGTGGATTCGAATTATCTTGATAAACATTAGAAAGATAGATAGATAGATAGATAGATAGATAGATAGATAGATAGATAGATAAACAGACTGATTAGATAGATAGATAGATAGATAGATAGATAGATAGATAGATAGATAGATAAATAGACACGGATCCAATGAGAGATAGATAGAATGATAGATAGAAATATAAGTCGATAGATTGATAGATACGTAGATAGATAGATAGATAGATAGATAGATAGATAGATAGATAGACACCGACAGATCGCTATATAGATAGATAGATAGATAGATAGATAGATAGATAGATAGATAGATAGATAGATAGATACTAGATAGATAGATAGATAGATAGATAGATAGATAGATAGATAGATAGATAGATAGATAAAAAGATAGGATAGATAGATAGATAGATAGATAGATAGATAGATAGATAGATAGATAGATAGAGATAGATAGATAGATAGATAGATAGATAGATAGATAGATAGATAGATAGATAGATAGATTGATTAGATAGATAGATAGATAGATAGATAGATAGATAGATAGATAGATAGATAGATAGACAAAGGATAGATAGATAGATAGATAGATAGATAGATAGATAGATAGATAGATAGATAGACAGACATTGAGATAGATAGATAGATAGATAGATAGATAGATAGATAGATAGATAGATAGATAGATAGATAGATAGATAGATAGATAGATAGATAGATAGATAGATAGATAGATAGATAGATAGATAGATAGATGGATCCCCCAAGTTTCCCGTTCTTCAAGATGGAACTCTCTCCTATCATTAATGGGCAATTTGTCTGGCAGCGATTTCACCTAAAAAACCAATGGTTATTGTACTCCGGTTTTCCAAAGTAGTGCAAAAATCTTCCCGATCATCTTAATCTCTGCGGTGACCAATTGGACCCGACTGAATCTATT